GTTGGTGAAAAGTCTGTGTAGGCTGTGAAGTGGTGTGGAGCTCCTGCTCGTGCATCTATTGAGGCACTGAAGGGCACAATTGCATGAACCCTTTGTAAACGGCCAGAATTATTGAAAATATTATCACCCTCAGGTGTTTAATGTTGCTGGGGCAGGTCAGGTGACCACATCCTAATCTGCTATGGTGTCACTTCAGCCTGATAAACTCAAGTCGCTTTGGACAGTGGTTTGCCCTAAATTGAGCAAGCTGGCATTGAAGCTGTCTAGGAGTGCTCCCTTGACCTGTTAATCCTGGCCAAATGCGGAAATGATAATTTCCATCTGCAAAGTGGTAACAAACTGCTGAAGGCTTTAATATAATAAACCACTTTCTCTAGATAGAGGATGCCTGCCTGCACCCTTCCTTGTAATGATGCTCTCTCACAGTGAGCTCCTGTTCTGCATGCACAAAGGCTATACTGCAGGCAAGCATCCCTAATTTAGAATGACGATAAAATATTTATTTGCTCTTTTCAATCCCCAGGGCCTGGGATTTTTTTGCAGGAGAAGAATCCAAAGGGCATTGCCTTCCTGTGTATGTGGCTAGAAGGACATGAAAGAAGAAACATTCCTCAGAAGAGGCTGTTTAGATGTTTTTCAGTATGAAACCGCAACTTTCTGGTTAGCGGGGCTGTGGTCCCTGGAGCACCTCTATGTCACTCATGGACTAATTTTGAGTAGAGATTCTCCATCCAGCCCAGGTACGTTGCTGCTCCAGCAGAGGCAGTCTGTGTAGCCAGCTCCTCATGTGTGTTCCCAGCACCAGAGATGTTCTTAGCTGTCACAAAGAACTGGAGTCTGTTTGTGTAGTCTGAGTGAGATAAAATGGCTGGAAAACAAAGGAAACAGCTTAGGACCTTTCTGGGTTTTTTTTTCTGTCCTAATTTTGAAGATACTTCAAACTAGACTTTGATAGATATCTGGGAAAATCTGCTAGATGAAGTGGGCAGAAGAGAATTCATCTTAAGCTTGAAACCTCCTGCTATTGGAAAAGGAGGAAAGATGAGCATCTTTCAGAAGGCAGTGGTGTTGAATAAGTGTATGAAGCCTGACTAGTACTTGTTGAACCTGTCGGGCTTAAAGATCGATTGTAGTGTGTACGTTTCTCAGTAGCTAGTAAAAATACTGCTAGAAACAGTGCAAATGAGAAAGCTGGCCAAAAACTGAGAGCCTGGCAAGAAGAATGCATTGGGTTTCAAATCTCAAGCTGCTGTCTTCTAGCTCCACCAGCTGTGCTTTGGGGATTTTATTTTGAAATCTCAGACTAAGGCATGAGGGCAGGCAGAGGAACAGCCACTGCACACGCAAAGCAGGCATGTGCTGCAGAGAGGCGCTAGCCCACAGCTGGATCCGCAGGTGATAGCAGAGATGATAGCAAAGCAGGGCTTTGTAACCTTTCTTTGGCCATATGACGCGGTGCTGCTCCAGGTAAAAGTATTGGGAGGCTTCACTTCGCCTCGTAAGTCATACAAACAGAAGTGTTGCTGGAAAGGACCTTTGGAGGTCTCTAGTCCAACCTCCAGCAGTGGGTGTACTGTCAGCACTAGATTAGGTCAGCCGGGGCTTTGTCTAGCTGACTCTTGAAAGCCTTCATTAGAGAGATTCGCCCACCTCTCTGGGAGACCTGTTGCAGCGCGGCACAAACCTCCTAGTGAAAAGGCTTCTCCTAATGTCCAAACTGCACTTGCTATGCTGCAATGTGCGGCCACTGCATCAAAATCTACTCTGGCTGTACTCTTTTTGCGTCTTGTGCACTTTATCAAGCTGTGCCATGCCTCTTCTCTGAAAAACCTGGCCTTAACTCTATGGATGCCAAAGGCCCCAATATGTCATTCACAAGACAATAGCACATCCCTTCCTTAGAGTTTCTATCTGTCCTGAAGGCCTGCAGTCATGCTGATGGATCTGTGTCAACAGGCAAAGGGAGACAAAAGTCCATAAGCGATCAAGAGGCCTGGACCTGGTTCGATGCCTGGCATGACTGCAGAAAGCTGCATCATCAGCTTTGTCGTCAGCTACCTGGTATCGGGTTTTTCTTTCACGTTTTGCACATATCTGGGCTTTACGCCGTGTATGTGTGTGTGGCCCCCTTAGGAGTTTGTTTAGATTTTCTTTGTGAGATGTGGTGGATGATCCTCACTGTAACGGAAAGCTGTGCGACCTCAGCCTTCGCTTTTGCGGTAGGAGGCGGCATCTGTTGTAACAAGTGAAGAGCCTCCAGGTCTTATAGAAACCTAGCCAGGACAGAGAGAGCGTTTCAAGCTGGTAGGGGATTGTACAGCAGCCAATAGTGTTATTACGCATCTGTAGAATTGGGGGTTTTTTTCTTTGTTTTCTTTTTTTCTCCTCCCAAAGGATAGCATTCCACCTTCTCGGGGAATCTTTGGCCGAATCCTTTTCGCTCAGATGCAGCAACTACACAGACTGGGACTGTCTTTACCGATTAAGAAGGAAAACAAGCAGGAGCGTGGCTTTGCCAGCACAGCGAGGCTTCTTTCATATGTACAGATGAATGACTTCAACGTTTCAGAGCTGGTGGCTGCAGGCTGCTCCTGCTGCCCGAGTCGGGGTGCTCATTTAAAAAAAAAATCACATGCTCCTTGCTCATTGCCTAGCTGGCTGCTGCCATCATGTGGCCAGCTCCTTCATTTACAGTCACATGAATATTTTTTCCCCCTCTATTCCCCCCCCCCCTAAATTTCTTTTCTTTAAAAAAGTTCTCCCCCCCCCACCACGACGCCTCTTCTGTCAGGAAGAAAGGTCTCCCTGCCCGCAGGCCAGGGAAGCGAACCTCTTGTTGGGGTTTCTCCTGATTTTTTTGACAGCCTGATCTGTGTGTTGGTGTCCAAGGACAGTTTGGAAAGCGTAGGGCGATCTGCTGCAGGTAAGAGACCCCCTGATGGGGTTGAGGAGGCGGTGGATAACGCTAGGAGCGCGTATAAAATGAAAACCATTTCCTTTAACGACCACTCTTTGGTTACCTGTTGCCGAAAGGTACAAACAGAGCAGCGGATTTTGCTCCGCCGCTTGCTGCGGTTCGCAAAGGCTAAATTCCTGTCATAGCACGGCCCTGCCGCAGCTCGGAGGACTGTTTTCCTAATTCTTTCTCGATTTTTTTTTTCTTTTTTCTCCCTCATCCTCTCTCCAAAAGAGAAGA